CCACTGAGAGAACTGCCCATTTATACTCACTCTCTGTTTTCTATTAATTAGTCAGTTTTTGATCCATAAAAGGACTTGTCCTTTTATCCCATGATTTTTGAGCTTACTTAGGAGCCTTTGATGAGGAACTTTATCAAAAGCTTTCTGGAAGTCAAGGTAAACAATATCTATTGGATCCCCCTTGTCCACATGTTTGTTCACCCCCTCAAAGAACATTAACAGGTTAGTGAGACAAGATCTTCCCTTACAGAAGGTTTAAAAAGGGGATTTGACGGATTCATGGAAGGTTAGTCATTACGGCTACTAGCCATCAATAGACCTAAGGGAATTAAATAGTCCACTAAATAGACCTGAGTAGGATTCTGAGTAGACCTACTTAGGATTGCTCTCCAAATTGACTACTGGCCTGATCCAGTGGAGTTCTCCTTCTTCTTCTTCTTCTTTATACAGGGCTAACTAAAGTGTCATCAACCAGATGACGCATCTGTGCTTCTACTTTCTTCTGTCAGTCTTTTGCAATGGGAAAATACAATAAAAGTGATGCATCAACGGCATCTTTCTTCTTTGAGACATTTGGCAGAATTTATAATAATTTGGAAGGAAACTGCTATTCCTTCATAGATAATGGTTATATATCCTGGCTCCAACATTTTGGTTTCAAGCACTGTCATCAGGGTTTATTGCAGATGTTTCCTATACCTCAAGAGTTTTTCAGTGCAATCTTAAGAATACTGTCCTTGCAGTTAGTCCCACAGAACAGACCTGAGTCAGATTCTGCGTAGACTCACTTAGGATTGCACTGTTTGTTGCTTAAGTATGCTGCAATGATTCTAAGGAGAAGATAGCACTAAATATTCCAACTGCATCAAAATTATTATTTGCAAATTTCTGGAACGAAAGGCATTTTCATATAGGAATGATTGTTTAGATGGAATTGAAGATTTATACAAACTCATCAAGCTCATAACTTTAAAAAAGTTGATTGATGCAGCAAAATTAAATTAAATCTGGAAATACTTGCTTCAGAACATGGAAACAAGTACAGTAGAAGTGTGTTGATTATATTATGACTCGAATGATACTATTCTGTATGCCTTGATTTTCAATACTTAATATTTTGCAAGATATTATTTGTTTTGATTGTTGCATATAAATTTACAGTAATAAAAAAAATCAGATCATGCACATGTTTGTATCTCAGCGTCCCAGTGTGCACACCTACTATCATGCTGGGTTTATCCTAAACCATCTTAAATTTTCTGGAAAATTCATATGTTGAGAAAATTAACATCCCATGAAGGCAAAAGTTCCTTTACGTTGCTGTGCAAGCAGAGCAGAGCCCTAGAGCATACATGAGTGCAAAAGTGGAAACTCAACCACCATTACATTGTGGGCTGCATGAACTCTACAGCCATGAATTACATTTGCACATGGACAGTCTCACAGCTGAGATGAAAACTGGGTCCCTTCGTGCTTCTCTCACTTAGGGGAGCCCCATGAACCACCAGTCCTTCAAGAGGGCAAATGCCATTTCCTGCAGGGCTCCAGGTCACCAGGCAAGCAAGTAACAGCCAAGCCATTCTGTATTATGGCTACAGGAATAACCACAGCCTGCATCATCATGACTCATGTGCACATAGAGTACTGGCCTACCTCTTAGAAAGCCAGTGCCTGACTCGTTCTTACCATTATTTCTGCAAAGTGGGAAGCAGTTACTGGCTTGACTGCCCTGTTTCAAGTTACTTTCTCCTGGATCATGGGGCGTGGTAGTTATGTTTTCTGTGAGCTGACATGATTCCTGAGTGTTCATCCTCTCCATTCCAATTGCACGATTAGTGCTCATTTGGGGTGTTTGTTCCAAGTGGGTAGCGTGCTGATCTGTAGTAGAAGAGCAAGATTTGAATTCAGTAGCACCTTAAAGACCAACAAAATGTCCAGGGTATGGAGCTTTCAAGAGTCAAAGTCATCAGATGGGTGTTTGTAACTCTAAGTGATGGCCCATTTGTAGAAAGGGTCTACTGAGACTAATGGAGGGTTCATATCTGGGAGAAATCCCTCCGTTCAGTCAAGCCTAAGGACTGGCCCACATCACAGGTCAAGGGAATTTATGTATACCTATTGCACTGAGTAAACTTTGAGCAGAAGGGGTATGCTTGTGCTAGGCACCTAAGTTTTTGATAGTGTCTGCCAACTGAGTGTTACTGAATTGCTGATCTCTTCCCCCCCCCCTGGATACATCTAATAATTTACATCTAATAATTTACTGGCCAGGATTATGGAACTGAACAAGAATTATTCTTCGTCTTTTTTCACTCAGCAAAGCATACTGCAAGCTAGTATAACTTTGTAGCTATGATGTGAAGAAAGAAGTTCCCTGTCAAATTCTTGCCTCTGCCCTAAACCTGCAACGTAGCTTTATGCAAGCAACGGTCTCTTAATCTTTGTTTGCAATATGGAGGTAATACTGACCTGTCTTACAGGGTTGCTGTTGTAAGGATGACTGAAATTATAGATCTAGTTGGGCAGTTGTGTTGGTCTGAAGCAGTATAACAAATTCTGAGTCCAGTGGCAACTTTAAGACCAACAACAGTTTATTCAAGGTATGAGCTTTGGTGTACACACACACTTCCTCAAATACACTGAAATGGAAGTTAACAGTTCATATACATAGGCAGATGCCTATACACAGGTGAACAGCAAATTAGCATACAACTAAATGAAGATGTTTTGTCATAGGCAAAGACTTTATTGTTTCCCCCCTAATTAAATCCAAACAAATGGTGACTGTATGAACTTAGCTTGTTATTGCTGTTTAGTCTTTGTATATGTCAAAACATATTCATTAAATTGTATACTAATTTGCTGTTCACCTATGTAGAATATATATGAACTGTTAACTTCCATTTCCATGTATTTGAGAAAGTGTGCATGCACACGAAAGCTCATACTTTTTGTTGGTCTTAAAGGGTGCCACTGGACTCAAAATTTGTTCTGAAATTACTTATGTTTATTATTTTTGTAATTTATTTATATCCTGCCTTTCTCCTCGATGGGGACTTGAAGCCGCTTAGATCATTCTCATCTCCTCCGTGTTAACCTCATAACAGCCCTGTGCAGTAGGTTAGGCTAGGTTAGGTTAGAGAGTGTGACTGGCCCAAGGTCACCCAGTGAGCTTCCATGACACAAGTAGGAACTACTTTGATCTCAAAGTGCTGTATAAGCGCTAAATATTATTCCTAAAAATAAACTAAAATACCCCCCAACCCCAGCCATTGCTTGCTTGCTTTCCAGGTTGAAACCTAAAAGTTTCCTCATTTATTTATTTCACATTTAAGACCACCCTGTGCATCAAGGGTCAAGGAAGGTACAATGATAGTTGCCTCATACATGATATTTCCTCATGCAGATATACCTTATGGGGCTGAAGTCTTTGGGAAATTTCTGTTAATGGAAAGAGGAGCAACTTTATCAATTCCATTCTCCTACTGCAGATCTCTGATTCTCCCGCCCCCCATGTTGTTCCTAGAGATAGCCAGAAGCAGCATTCCAGATATCATTTTGGGCTGCAGCAGGTTTTGCTGATGGAAACTCTTTCTGTCAGCAGAGATAATGCATCTGCATACACTGGCGTACACTATCGTATGTTCAGATTATTTCAGTGTCTATTCTGCTGAGTACATCCTCACTGGGAAACTGCCATTGGCAATGGCTTCCTCAAGAATTTACACCCAGTGATCTTCACACAATACTTGTAGATGTGTGTACACAGATTATTTTTTTTCAAGTGCACTCCTTTGTAGGGGACTAAGCCAGCCTGAGAAGGAGATTATTTTTTTTCAAGTGCACTTTGTAGGGGACTAAGCCAGCCTGAGAAACAAGTACTCAGTATTGCCATGCCTGAAAGGTCATTAAGGAATGAGTAATGCACAAATTTAGCTACAAGAGACTAACCCTGCGTGTTGTCAGACCTACTCATCTGTCTTTCTCTAAGTTGTATTCAACGTTCTGGCATTTTCTGATTTTAGTAAATCTGGCAAAAGTGCTCATCTGCCAGATGTTAACATGGGAAGCTCCCATCCCCGCATTACTAACATACCAGAAGCCTCTAGTTTTCCTAACTTGAGTTTAGGTCCAGCCTAGCATTTTTGCAGGCAGGACCTCTGCCTGCAGAACATGACTTACTCAGCTCCCTTCCCATGGCAGCCTAAAATGCCTCCAGAAATCCTGTTCTGATGCCCTGGCACTTGCAGAAACACTGTGCAGGATCCATACCCTGCTGTCTACAGGCACATTCTTGGCATGAGTAAGGCTTGATGCAGTAGCAACTATCTTAAACTTAAGGAGACAGTACCTAGAATCATCCTGTTATTGGATGAAATGCCCAACTGCAGAAATAAGACTTAAGAGCATTGTTTTCTTACTTACATTTGAGAAGGAGCCTGGTTTCTACAACTATAATGCAGTTTAGCATTATAGCGTCAGCAATTTTTCCTTCAGCAAAGTGAGATTCACTATGGGTGGTCTGTCTGCAATGGCTCTTCTTCTGTCTGCCTCTTTAGTCTTACTTTTCCTAGCATTACAGTCATTTTCTTTATATGAGTATCAGCAGCATTAAAGTCAGAATCACTAGGCACTATATAGTGCCTAACCATGTTTTATAACGTTTCTCTTTCCTTCCCGGTCAGTTAAGCTTCCTTGCTGCAATTGGTGGTTGCTGTTGTTTTAGTTCTCCTTTTACTGTTGTTATTATTATTATTACTATTATTGTCATTCAACACTACTGTATTTGTATAGCTTTTATCTTGGCTTCTTGGCAGTGTATGATTTTCGCAACAGGACGACTTCTTGTGCTTACTGAACGCAGTCGCCTCATACCACTGACTGCTAAGACGTTACTGGCAAAGAATGGGTCAGAATCGTGGCTAGTGATTCTGCAGGTGATCATCATCACGACCTTTACTGGCATAGCTATAACATCAAAGGAGAACTAACAATACAGTTCGCCAAATAGCCAAGAAGCCAAGAGGAAGATCTCCCAATGGAGACAGGGTCATTGACTGTGTAAGAGTGCACATGCATAACCCAAAGTTTACATAACAATCTCCTTTTGCAATATGGTCAGATTCCTGCATCAGTAGTACATTTTGTTATACACGTCTTACTTCCAGAGCTTGAGCAAATGCAAGGCTCTTTGGATCTTGGCTATTCTGTATCACAGCAACTGGCAGCCTGGAGCCCCCTTAGAGTTCCTGGTACCTGATTTGACACAGGCAGTTTACACCCTTCCCCACCCCCAAGATAAGCAGCTGAACTATGGTTCTGCCAAACCCTCTGCTACTAATCACTGGGAAGGAGTGAGTTAATGAGCCCTTCGCCCACGTCTTTCAGGGGACTACACCAGTGGGGCAGAGCCAATATTGCTGGCTCTTCACTTAATTCAGAATTTGACCTACCCTGTTAAAAGTTCATTCCCAACCAGGACTGACTATTGTACCTATCAACAGCCAACTGTACTAAAAATGTGTAGAAACCATTTCAATGCTGCTGTTATACCATCTATACTTATTATGGCGGAATCTGAATTTTCACCCAAATAGCTAACTTAAAAAGGTGACTTTATATTTCTTTCTTCACATAAGATCAAACCAACCATAATCTGCATGCAACATCATATGAGGCACATTTCTATTGTGGACATGCTAACCGAATAAGGTTGCCAACAGGCCTGGAGAAAAATGCCCTGATCTTTTAATAGAGGTTTAATGTGATGTTATTTCTCTCCCTGCCATGACAAGCTTCAGCTGCCCATTTCTACACATTAAGTTTCTAGTGAAGAAGGAACAGGACATCTTTCTCCAGGCCTGATGGCAAACCTGTAACTGAAAGCATTTTGAAAAACTATTAATGTGGGGTAATGCAAAAATGCTTTATCTGAACCCTTACACACTTTAATTTTACACAATTAACACTGAATTGGATATCATTTTGATGAACATGGCAGACACTACAGCTAACAAAGACAATGTATTTAATTATACAGTATTCACATATGAGAGATAGTCAGCTTTCTGTTTACTTGGTATGAGATCATTAAAGATATCTCTACTGTTCTGCAGACTAGAAACACACACAAAAGCAGAACTTTCAAGATTTTGGTAAGAAGTGCCTTGAGTGACCACAATTTGTTCTCCTGTCCCCTGAAAGCTAACCTGGTCAAGTAGTCTTGAAGCTACACAAATGTTACCTGTCAAAGGTGCTTGCAGACAGCAGCTACACAAAACCCCCAGTGGAAGCAAATCAGCACTTCAGACTCAAAATGACTTTTATCAGTTCATGAACATCCTCTTGCCTAACAAAGAGAATAAGTCCAGCAAGTAAGATTAATTAGGGAAAATTAAAACTAGGCTTTTAGAAGCAGAACTCCGCAATTTTGTCCTTATTGTTAGGCACACCGACACAAAGCTCAACAGACACAGTCCACAATCGATCACAGCATTGCTGACCTTTTTTAAAAAAACCGCAGAAAAGCCTTGAGCTGAGATACAACAAAATACAAGGATGACCGCTTTATATTATGAAGAATTCTGTGAGCTATTTTATGGTTTGTACCAGACAGACCTACAGTCGCTTCCCATAATCGCTTAACAAAGGATTTAGCAGCGTCTGTATCCCAAGCGCTTGTTTCCTGACTGCCGTGCGCTGTTCTGAGCAAAGCTATTCGGAGGCCTACAGTAAACATGGATGGGAGACTTCCAACACGAAACCCTCCAGGATGTTTATCCAACAAAGCAAGGATTGTGCTTCCAAACAACCTGCCTTTGTAACTGTACCCACTGAACTTTCCCAGTTCTTCAGCATTCTAATATTTGCGACTTTACACTGATATTTTCCCCCACCCGTCTTCATTATATAATCTGCATTTTAGTGAAAGAGAAACATCCGGACTTTGTGCAAAACTTGCTTTCTGTTCTAGGCCTTCATCAAACGTATGCCCGGAAAACTTGGAACCATCAGAAATACGGCTCCGATCTATGTCAAATTCTATTTTCGGAACAAAGTTCTCCTACAAAGATTCATTTGGAGACCAAATTAAATATACTACACTTACCTGTGTTCAATTCATAATTGGTCCCCGTTGATATAACCACACAGAAATCCTGAGATCTGCCATTAAAAAGAAGGCGAACAAACCCAAAGAACAGAGAGGCTGAGAGTTAAAATGGTTTGTGCTGTAACGATCAAACTCTCCGCCCCCCATCTTAAAACCTCGATAGTGAGTCATCATGTAAATATTTCAAATTAAGAGTCCCTACCCAGCACATACAGGAGAGACAGTATTTGCCTATACTCAGAAACGGCGGTGAAGAAATAATATGAATTCACGTGGGATATCTTAAAAATATCCCTTCAGAAGAGCTGCAGTTTGCACTTCTGGCCCAGAACCTCAGACTATGCGGTTAACCCCTTCCTGACTCAACACGGTCAAGTTTTAAATATAAGTACGTAACAACACCGTTTTACTAAAATGGAACCCATTCCGATAGGTTAGATTTTCTTTTAAAGGAACACCTATAGGATCAGACACGTGCAGGAAAATCAAAACTAAAAGCTACTTGATACATTTTGGTAGGACTAAACAAAATATCACAAAGCGGTTTGAGCTCATCATAAGGCCAGATGTTCAGTACAAAAAAGAAAAGAAGGGGCTGTGGGGAGCAAAGAACTAGTTTCAGATCATGAAATGCATGGTCTACACTCTACAGCCTGTCTTTTTAACATGGACTACAGGGTGCCTTGCAGACTAAATTGGATTAGGTAGAGCTGAGTGGAAAACAGGTTTTCGAGTTGCAACAAAGACTGCTGCAACAAAGGAGGAGAGAGGAAAAATTGGCCCCATAAGCAACTTCCCATCCAAAAATCAATCAATAGACAAATACTGTAGGCAGCTGATAGGATTTGGGTTGTAGAACCAGCCAGCAATCTAAAAACAGAACTAAAGCAAAGCATAACTATTAACATGACACTTTAATTTTTGCAAAATTCCACAGTAGGATCCTAGTTTCAGCAAGCTAAACGCAGTAGTAGTATAGACCACAGTCTCTAATAATTTATCCAAGTGACGTTGTGAAGCATTTAGTACAGTGCACCTCTGTGGCCTGCGTAGAGAAGCCCTCTTGATTAATTCAGTTTTGCATAGTTTGTGGAAAGCCAGGAGAGTGGGAGCCTTTCCTGACTTCCTCATGCAGGCTATTCCGTAAGGAAGGGCCACAACGGGCAAGGCACACCTATGGGCAGTTGTTGGTTTTGTCCATTTGCAGGTTGGCTCAAGTGGTTACGACGCTGAACTGCAGGCTGTGGAAGGTCAGTAGTTCAGCAGTTCGAGACCCGAGTGTGCCGCATGATGGAGTGAGCTCCCATCTCTAGTTCCAGCTCCTGCCAACCTAGCAGTTCGAAAGCAAGAAATTGCAAGTAAATAAATGGGTACCACTTCGGTGGTACCTGGGGCGTTCCATGCGCCTTGCTGTTTAGTCATGCTGGCCACATGACCACGGAAACATCTTCAGACAGCGCTGGCTCTTCGGCTTTGAAACGGAGATGAGCACCGCAACCCTAGAGTCGGACTCGACTGGCTTTCGAGCAAGGGAACCTTTACCTTTACTTTACCTGAAGAAGACCCTGCTCCAATCAGTGAAGTTGTCATGGCAGAATGTAGGGGGAGAGGTGATCCCACAGAAATGAGGCCCTGAGGCCCTGAAGGGTTTTGTATGTGATAGCTGTTAAGTATGCAACTCAACGACGTTGTAAGTAACAAGTGAATCAGCTTTATTAAGAACGAGAACATCCAAGATCACACAAGACACAATAGGGTTGCCAAGTCCTTGCTGTATGTAGAGCGGGGGACTCCAGTGCCGCTCCAGGAGTCCATGTGCGCACGCAAAGCGCACACGCGCCACAACCACGTCACCCGGAAGTGATGCAACCACGTCGGGCATGCTGGGGGCAGGGCCACAATCATCCAAGGGAAAACCATAGAGTTTTCCCTCGGATGACCACGGCAACGCGCCCGACGTGACTGCGTCACTTCCGGGTGACGTGCTGACGCCGGGCACGTTGCGTGCTTTGGGGGTGGGGTTCCCCCCGGGGCCCGATCCACTGCCGGCAGGTAACGGGCCTCTCGGGCAGAGGTTTCCCCGCCCCCCAGGGGGACTTGGCAAGCCTAAGACGCAACGACAACAAACAGTGGAGCCTAGCTCCCTTTTAAACAATCCCGGGCTGGTGTAGCCACGCCCTCACTTAGTTAAGGTCCAGTCATAATCTAGATATAACATCCAATAAACACAGTTCCTTCCAGCACAGTTCTCTTACATTTGATTGGTTACAATACTGCTTCAGCCAATGGTATTGTTTCAGATTAGAATCCTGGCTAAGGTTTTCAAGCTTAACATGGTTTCTCTATGGTGAAGACACAACAATAGCTAATATGTTAAATTGAGCCCAGTAACTGATGGGCAGTCATTAAAGTGCCTACAGGACAGGAGTGATGTGAGCACTCTGTCTAGCACCCGATAATAGCCAAGCTGTGGCAGTCTGCACCAACTGGTATTTCCAAACTGATTTTGAAGGGAGACCAATACACAGTTCATTGCAGTAGTGTAGTCTTGATGTTACCTGGTTCCAAGTGGCCATATCACTGGTATCAAGGTAAGTTCTCATCTTCCATTCCAATTTTTTTGAAGAAGTGTGCGTGCACACGAAAGTTCATACCTTGAATAAACCTTTGTTGGTCTTAAAGGTGCCACTGGACTCTAAATTTGTCCTACTGCTTCAGACCAACACGGCTGGCCACCTGGAACATGTAAAGTACTGGGTTCGAAGACGCAGATACTGAAATCAGCTCATAGTTTATTGAGCACGAACAGCAGATGGAATAGTAGGGCCGGAGTCCTGCTTAAATCCCCAAAACACACCACACCCAACACACATACACAACCCATGATAGACTATTTACAGTGTACCAGCACCCATAGATCTACTCCCGGATCCGGGCTGGCCGATTGGTCCGTTCCAGGATCCTAGCTGGCTATTGTCATACAAGTGAAGCTTCACTATTTTGCATGACTGCGTGCGAACTCGACAGAACATAAGAAGAGCCCTGATGGATCAGACCAATGGTCCATCTAGTCCACTGAGCCCCCTTCTTTTCCATTAGAGATTGATTTCTTTTAGTGCCAATTTGGATCCTGGCTTTTCTCTGAGGGGCTCAGGGCAGCTTTCATGCTTCTCCCTCCCTGCCACTTTACCTTCACAACAATCCTGTGAGGTAGACTATACTGGGAGTGAAGGACTCATCCAAGATCGACTAGTATGTTTTATGAGGAATGAAGAAAGGGACCCAAATTTCACCATTCTTAGTCCATGGTTCATAGCACTACATTATCTAGGATAATAAACAGAAGTGACACCCCCCCCCAAGAATCATGCAAAAATTATGTCTCATAATGTTCCTATTTCCCATGATCCCGAGATAACTGATGAAATAGAATTTGAGGCATGTGTCATATTTTTGCAAGACTTCTGTGTCCCTGGTTATGTGTGTACATGCGCGCACACACGCACAGAGTATTTATACATGCCCATGCGCGCACACACGCACAGAGTATTTAAGTTTTCATTCAAGTAAGATTTATGTATGTTTATTTGAGGAGCAGGTTGATAAAGACAACCTATCAGACTTCTTTTTAATGCATCATATACATTTTCCTGCTTAACTTTCTTTTTAGAGATCTATGTTATCTCTTACCAAATGACCAAGGTCTCAGAGTGGCTTACAATCTCCTTCCCCTCCCCACAACAGACACCCTGTGACATCTGTGGGGCTGAAAACAGCTTGTGGGAGAATAGCTCTGAGAAAATTTATGCCTGACTCAAGGTCACACCAGCAGCTGCATGTGGAGAAGTGGGGAATCAAGCCTGGTTCTCCCAGATTAGAGTCCACGCTCTTAACCACGACATAGATTAGTGTCCACGCGCTTAACCACGACATCAAATTGTCACCAAACTAAGCCACCTGTCGCCAGTCCGAGCTGAACCCTGTTTGTGCTAGAAGCATTGCAGGGGGCTCACCCCGGACCCTATGGTTTCTGCAAGTCTGCAAAGGGTGCCTTCTCTTGTTTGACTAGTGGCCAGGAGAAAGGTTAGCTCCAGAGACGCATCTTTGAACATCACCTCTTTTCCCAGGTGGTGTGGGCCTCTCTCTGGTAGGGAGAAACGCACAAGGTGGCAAGTCCTGCTCAATCCTGCTCAACTGTTCCTGGCCTATCTCCTCCTCTAGGGACATAGGAGACTTTCGACTTAGAAAGCCTTTGTCATCTCATCCCTGCTCCTAGAAGGACTTGGATCTCTTTGGGGATGCCCAAGCAGGGACAAGTATAACTTTCTGTTTAGAAACACCTTTCTGCGGACCGCATCACCACACCCCAAGTGTTGCTTGAGCAAAGGGGTGTGTGTGTGTGTGTGTGTGTGTGTGTGTGTGTGTGTGAGGTGCCATCAATTCACTTCTGACTTATGGTGACCCTATGAATTAATGACTTCCAAAATGTCCTCTCCTTCACAGCCTTGCCTCCGGCCTTGCAAACCGAGGGCCTTTGTGGCTGCTTTGATTGAGCCCATCCATCTCATGTCGGGTCTTCTTCTTTTCCTGCTGCCGTCCAGTTCTCCTAGCATTTTCATCTTTTCCAGTGACTCTTGTCTTCTCTCTAGGGAGAGTTCAGGCTGGATTTGATCTAGAAGCCACATTTGCCTTGCTGATTCAGACGATGGGAGCCACGGGTGCTGGCTAATCAGGAAATGTGCTGCTGCTGAGTCGCATTTCCAGAAGTAAGGAGTACTGACAAGGAACTTGGAATGAGGAGCACCGCTATGGATGTGGAATCGTGCTGCTGGCAGTAAAGCTTACTAAATAATATGGCAAGAATTAAAAAGGTCAGGGAAAATTTGGGCAGGGCAGATTAGGGAAGGGGCGTCACCCCAAGGGCCCTGCGGTGACTACGGGCCTGGACCAAAGTACGATAGCCTCAGTTTAGTCATTTTAGCCTCTAGGCAGAGTTCAGGCTTGATTTGATCTAAAACCCACTTAGTTGTCTTTTTGACGGCCCACGGTATCCATAAAACTGCCCTCCCACACCACGTTTTAAGTGTGTACACATGTATAATCTTACTGAACAGCTTTCTAAAGAACAGTGTGAGTGTGTCAAGCTAGA